TTGTTAAGTGCCATCAGGTCACGACCCTATGAACGAAAGACCTGGACCCTTGTATAACTTTCATCCTTTTTCCAGGTTCATAGGGTTTCCAGAGACAAGCTATTACGGAAGTGGACGCCACTACTGCTTCCAAGCTTGTATTAATCGGGGAGCTCCACCAAACACTGTCCACTAAGGGTAACCATTTGACACATCAGTGTCACCACGAGTAACCTCTGTACACCAAGTGGACAGACCACGGCTATAGGACATAGAAGAATGTTTGACCAAAACCAATTAAAAACAGGCCTGAGGGCGGCAGACTAAAGTCACCCGCCACCTTTGGCTTGATAGCATCACTCTCTGTCCAGTAGGCTAACTTATCTTTCCCTATGCTATTGTGGTGGTGTTGTTAAGTGCCATCGAAGTGTAGGCAACGCATAGTAACCTTGACATCGTGTCCTAAAATTCTGTGCCTACAAACCAGCAGACCACTCATGAGAACTGAGTGGGATGTTAGCTAAACACCTTAAGGAATTTTCACTTCCAGAAACGAACACCATACGAGGTTTTATGCAGGTGCTCCACTGTGGCCCCAAGTGCTTGCGTCTGCTACCAAGGACAGAAAATAAATAGGCAGTGACAGCATGCACAGTATAAGCCTACCTACACTTTGTGAACTATTGCTATTGTTGTTAAGTGCCATCAAGTCGCCTGCAACTCACAGCGATCCTGTGTACAACAGCCCCGAAAGCCGCTCTCTCCTGTGCTAAACTTACTGTCTCTGACACACCTACCTTTAAAAAACTGGGAGATAGTGTAGGAGAATGTTAGCTCTGCCTCGGGGAAGAAGGTATGGCGTTGCCTCCCTGCCCCTGGTTACTTTACCACTTTAGGGAACAGGGAGTAAATACTAAATTTCCCGTGTATCCCAATGCTTGCTGATCCCAAATTACAACATAGCATTTTATAGCGTTAATGCATTTTTTTTTTCTTATTTTTGTGTGAGCTTACCATCAAATCAGATCTGACTGGTACAGGAGGAGGCTGTCCCTCCTTCCTCGGCAGAGCATCTGGTGGATTCGAACCACACGCCTCTGGGATTGTAGTTGCATCTCCTTGCCACTAGGCCACCAGAGCTCCCCTGCATTAATGCACTTTGTTGTATCCATACAGATTTCCCATGCATAACACACTGAGAAGGAGAGTCTCCAAGAAATGAAGGAATGAATACCTGTACTAGTTTCAAATGACTAACAAGCAAAAAGAAAGTCTTGGCCACAATAACCATGCTTGTTAGAAATCAGATGGACATAAGCCACAGTCATTTATAGGATGTGGCCTAATAAGTTTAAACTTAAGTTTCATATCCTCTCATCAGAATGGTTAACTCCCTGTCTATGGAAGCTGCTTTGCAAATCGAGCAGAAGTTTCTTTTCCCTCAAATTTATAGGTGTGAGAGGTTAGTGAGCAAGTTGTAGCAACAGCACACCCCCTTCTGAAGACACACACACGTTCTAAAAAGAGTAGGAGGTGTAAAAGCCTCGGCATAAAAAACAAACTGAATACCAACAAGAGTTGGTCAACAACAACAAAAAAATCTGAAGGGACAGGGTCTCCATCTTGCTAATTCCTGATCATTAATCAGAGGGAGAGAAAAAAAAATGTGTAGAACATCCTGAAATGGAAGGAAACACAGAGCAGAAGGATTCAGACAAGGAACTTTGGGGGGAAAAGTTTGTTTGCAATTATTTCCGTGAAAATGTTATTGACTAATCTATTACAGGAAAAAACACCTTCATTCTTATCTGAACACATTTATGCCATGGGTCCCACCCTGTTATTGTCACTATCAAGCATGTTAATAGCCCCAATGCAATGACTCTCGGTGGTTATCTTTAAAAATGGACAAGAATAGCTAACTAGAAAGAAGTGACTCACCTCTGCCCTGGTGGCTGTTGACTTTCTGAGTCATATTTACTCAACTGGTCTACCAATCTAAAGTCCCTGGAGCAGAGACCTGGAGCTTAGAATAAAGCTCAAGTACGAGGACAGTGAGTGAACAGGGACAGTTGCAAACTGAACTGGGACAGAGCAGAGGGTATCCCAAACCTGACTGCCATTTGTAAAGACAAGGTGGACATTAAGTGTCCAGCATCAGATGTATGCTCCCAGCTCTGGAGAAGGCTGGGCGGACGAGCTCCAACATTCTCTTTTAGCATGATGAAGGTGGTTGATGGGGGAGTCCCCACACCACACAGGGGCTATTCCCATGACGTTTCATTAACAGCAATTTGATAGCTCCAGTAGTAGCTACGTGATCTTAAGCAAAGTGCTCCAACTCCTTGAACCTCGGTTACCTTATTTGTAAAGCGATGGTTCTAGAGACAACTGGGATGTTCTGAAGAGTTACCATGGGTAATGGCTCAGAGCAATGCCAGGCCATAGCAAACAGTGTTAAAAAGAGCAAACAGGTTGCTCTCAGTCAGATCAGTCTTTCAAGGGATCCTTGTAAGTGCCAGGGAAGCAGCTGGGCATGTACTCTTCGGCCATTCCCTTTTTTAGAGATAAAGGAATGGCAGGGCACAAGGGTGACGCACCCTCCTCAACAAAGGTGGCCTCACACCCAGTTTGCTTGACTATACGCCTCATTTGAGGTTTCTACAACTCAAAGCACGTCATCTCTACACACTCAAGCTAGGGATCCTGAGGTTCAAGCCACAATTCTTGAAGGATAATTACGCCAGTGTTAGTTAACTAATTCCCATGAAAAACCATCTGGAAACAGGCTGCTTGACGGGGCCTGCACAGCAGTGGCTGGCCCATCACTCTGATGTACTTTCCGTCAGGATGCTTTGCCAAGAGTCCTGCTCGGCGCCTGTCCTGGACCAAGTTCCTCTTAGGCTGCACCTGGTCCAAAACTCCTGTGATGCTTGCATTGTGTGCCCCTTCACTGATGGGAAATTGAGGCATGGAGTAGTGGAGTAACTTGCCCCAGTGCCACAGCCCTGAAGTGCAGATGTCTCTGAAACGCTGCATCTCAGCCCCTCCCTGGGAGACATTTGCCTGTCTGAAGACAAAGCTGAGGGCGGCACTGGCGCCGGAGATCTGCTTGGCGCTGGAGGATCTTGTGTTATAAGGAAGAAATTCCGTCTTTCTGTTTCATTTTCCCCACGCTCCCAAGCAGGTGCCCGTGTCTCCCTTTATCTACCTCCTAAAGATTAATGAGTTACCATGTGCCAGGCCTTTGTGGAGGAATTGCTATGTTCAGTATGGTCTTATCACTGATAGTCAAAATGACCAGCAAAGCTTAGTAAAAGCTAAACCAGGAAGGAGCTGAGAGACAAAGTTTCTATCAGAGCCCAGCTTTGGGCACAGAAAGGGGGTCTCTCTGTTCCCCCAGAAAGAAAGAGCTGAAAGATCAGCTCTAGGCAAATCAAGGCAGGCAGGGTCAGAGGCCAGGCAAGAAAGAAGAGCAAAAGAAGAAACAGTTCTTATGTTCAAAAGAATAAATAGTTTAATTCACTAGGTAGACCAGAAGATTTAAACTAAAACCGGTACATGTAAAGTTACCTACACGTCACAAAATTTAAGGCCTGTGACAGTGTAGAAAAGTGTCCGTGAGAGTTTATCAGCTGGAAGAAAATTCAAAACTGCAGAGTGTAAGCCCAATTGTATAAAAATGTTTTCTAATACTTAGGCACAGAAACAACTAAAAAAAAAAATACGCCCACACTTTCTGAGAGCTTCAACAGATGACAAGGATATGGTGTTTATATACCCTTCCTTATATTTTTCTGTGTGCTCGAGTTCTCTTAAACGGCCGCTTAATACCTTTCAAATGAAAACAAACTTTTAAAGATGATATAGTCTACCTTTTCTCTCCCCTTTGGCCAAATACATGTGCACGTGTTATTATAGATTATTCTTTTTCTGCTTTGTTGTCGGGTGTCGTCGAGTCAGACTGACTCCTAGCAGACCGTCCAGCAGACTTTAAGAGGCAATAAATTGCACAGGCGGAGAACGCCCATCCTTCTCCTGCAGAACAGCTGGTGGATTTGATCCACGTGCCTTGTGGGATTGCAGCACAGCACCTTACCACTAGGCCACCAGAGCTCCTACAGCTTTGCCATAGGATCCGTATTTTCCACATCTGTAGCTGGAATACAAAGCTCATCTGCAGGCTCATAGCAGGCACACAGTAAATGTTTTTAAAAAAGACAGAAGCTTGGTCCCCTAAAGAAATGCATTTCTTTAAAAGAGAAGGGAGGGGCTGAAGCTAGCACTAGTACTACTAAATCATTCGCTGTTTACATCTAAAGAGTTACTTGAAAATTTTCTAACTGCATTGACTTTTGCTTTTCTGAAGATAAAAGCAAGTTCTAGATGCTCTTTATTCTTCAGAACTACTAATTTGAAGCGAGCTGTCACTCCCCAGCACTGAGCGGTGTGGGGTATTGACATTCTATTGAATTATTTAAAGGAAATTAACAATGCTTCCTGTCCTTGGAGAGCAACATCTGTGAGGGAAGCCATCCGCCAGTGCCTGGAGTAGGTGTCACCGCAGCACAGAAGGGAGGGTTTTCAGTACCCTGTGTTCCCAAAGAAAATCTCTAAATCTTAACTTAGTAATAATGAAGTTCAAGTGGGAGTCAAAGCTTCTCTTCCACTGGGAGCTACGTAGAATAGTATTGCCTAGGGGTCAAGTCCAATGGGCTAGTGTGTGGATCCTCCTATCATCATTCTCAGGGAAGCCACACGTGACAGTGGGAGCCAAGCACCTGGGAACAGGAGCGCCACCCTCCGCCCTTGCCTTGTAAACAGGTGTTTTTATGGACAGGATTCCCTATCAGCAGTCAGGCCAGTCAGACATCATGGCACCTGTGATCACACTGCCCCGAGGAGGAGAATGGAGGGACACGGAGGATGGGCCCTGCCCTAGAGGAAGCAAACTTTGGATTGGGTGGTTCCATTTCAGAGCCAGCTCATCTCATACCGTCGCTTTTTGCTTCGAGACCTACCTCCAAACACCAGGGCTCCCCAACTTTTTGTAAGGAGTGGTTCCTTTTCATGTCCCTGAAGACTTGAGTGCTGACAGTGAAGTCTGAGGGGGGGTAGAAGTGCTGACAGTCATGTCCCTGAGGGCAGCAAGGGAGGGGGTACTGCTGCCAGGAAGAAAGGGGAACAGAGTAAGGCTTGGGAGCGAGAGACACGCAGCCACCAAGGCGCAGTCACCAGGGCAGGACCTGGTCCCCAGGCTGCCTTTCTGTCTTAACCCACACTTTCTCGCTACAAAGTCCAGATGAGTATTATGATCCCAGAACTCTTCCACCAAACCACCCTGCCTTCCAGTTCAGGGTCTGCTCTGCAGTATGGCACCCAGCACCCCTGCGCAACCCCTTCGGGCGGCCTTCTCCTCTGCCCACCCCCCACCCAGCAGCCCCCAAAGGGCGAGGCTGGCCTTTCCCCTGAGCCTCTACGGAGCTCTCCAGCTCATGTACTCACTTTCTCGACTTACCTTACTGAGTCTTCTATTGGTTTGAACCCTATGAACCTGCTAGGATTTCTGATCTACCAAAACACACTGACACCCCTGACGAAAAGCTGTTTAAGATCTATCTTAGCACTCTTTTCCCTTGCCAGATATAATCTTCTTAGAACCAACTGGATTTATTTCTTCTTGGGGCTCCTGGCAAAATCTGCCGGGCACACTTCTTTAGTTCTCAGTATCTGTACTGAATCGGATTTTAATCTAACTGGAGTCCTACCAAATGATCAAGCACAGTGTACACACCCCCTACGCCACAGGGGACCCTGGGCAGGACTGTGTCTGCTGACCTGTTGTCCTCACAACCACCCTGTGAGGTAGGTTATTGTTGTGCCCATTTTACAGAGGAGGAAACGGACTCAGAGAAGCTAAGGAGCATGCCCAAGGTCACACAGCTACTGTATGGGGTTGGGGGGCGGATAGAGACCAAGTCTCGACTGACCATACAGACAGCTGCTGTGTAGACACATCTGTCTGTCCAGATATTTACCTGCATTCTATAAACCAGGTAGAAAATTTAGCATCAAGAGCAAACAGGGGTCAGATAGGGGCTATTTTAAAAAAACAATATGTTGATCCTAATTACCCTTAAAATTAAAAAAGCAGAAGTTGTGTATCATAAAGGGTTTATGTGTTGAAGCTTAAAAAAGAAAATACAGTGAAAATTCCATAAGCATTGTTTTCACCCTTTTTTACCATGAATAACAGTCAGGATTAAGAAAATGAGACTGAGCCCAACATTCAGTATCTTATGTCCCCCTAAATACCAGCTTTAGCACAATAGCTATCAAGAACTCTGGGACTGAAAAAGATTCTGTGAAAATTAGAGCAAATATTTAGAAACCAATCCCCAAAGTGTCTTCGCATCAATCCCAAGTCTAGCAGGTACATTAACCACCGTGCAAAGGCAAAGTGAACTCGCATATGGGAGAGGAACTTATTATCTGCAGATGACCCTGAGATTGGACTTGGAAAGCTGCCCCTTCTGGACATCCAGGGATCTGCCCCCTAGGAAGGGGAGCCCGAGAACCACAGCCTCCTCCCCTGCACTTTTCCACAGAACTTCATTTGTAAACAAGCGTGAGTCATTCAGTAGGCAAGGGACTGAGAGTCTGGCTCACTTTACGGCTCCAGTAAACCTATTCTGCCCTGTCATACCAGTGACTCACCTCGCTGTCTCCCACCAAAGGTAACATGGTCTACCTTCCAATTCTTTCTGGAAGGAACCCAGCAATAGGAGAGTTTAATCCTTGTCTGAATGCTTGGTTTTCTCACACAATGCTGAGAGCAAAAGAGGAAAGTTTCCCAGAACAAAAGCAGTGTGGTGTGGGAAGGATATCTCTAAGATTTACTAGCAAGCTCTTCACCTTTACTCGTTCCTTAGCCATTTCCTCAAAGTCTATCCTTCTACAAGGGTCTGTGGTTTATGAGAAAATGTCACACACACACACACACACACACACACACACACACACACACACACCCCTTATCAACCCTTTTAAGAAGCGCTGGTGAAATAGTAGGGAAAGTGTTGAGTTATTAACTGAAAGGCTGGCAGTTCAAATCCAGGAGTCTGCTCTGAGGGAGAAAGATGGGCAGTTTCCTCCTGTTAAGATTCACAGTCTCTGAACTTTAAGAAGGTCACCAGGAGCCACTTGATGCCAATGAGTGAATTTCTTTCTGTCAAACCCTTAGAAGCTTCCAGCTTTTAACCTGTAAGATCACTCTTACCCCCAATTATTTTAAGCACTTCTTTTCAATGTCTCTTTATTCTCGTTTTCTTATCTATCATTTCTAACCTTCTCTTTAATACAGAGTTCTGAGTCACTTCAAATGTGGAGGTCAGTAAAATGTCTTATGGACAAAACATATACACAAACACAAAATCCTTTTCTGCTGGAGAATGGCAATTCCATCCTTTCTCGCAAACATAGAAACTCTTAAAGATCAGAAAGTAGATCTTTGCTGCTTTTTCTGCTCAACATCCATTCATGCTATTTTGGTAACTTCCGCCTCCATTACCACAGAGCTGGAATCGACTGCAAGCTGATCCACCACCAGGTTCCCAAGACCGTCTACCACACAGAAGGCGGCCAGGCTTTCTCCTGCAGAGCTTCTGGGAGACCTTAATGGCCAGAGTGGGGCTTCCACGGGATGAGCAGTGTAGCTCTCCACGGACCATGCCACCAGAGCACCCCTTTTCTGGTATTACTACTGTCAATTTCTTTTAAGGCACCATTCCTCTTCTCAGGTCATGTGGTTTAGGGCCAAAAGTAGACAAGTTTTACTCAGTCCAAGTTCACTCACAAACTGCAAACTCCTCATACCCACAGACACCAGTCTCAGAAGAAGTTCTCAAATCTACAGGGAAGGTTGAGGTTCTTCTGAACTTGAACCTATCTCTACCCAACAAGACAGAGGAAACCAGAGACAATATCTAGAGACAACCCGTATTTTGTCTGTGGGCCTCTGATCAGGCCATGAATGGTGCCTAAGAACTGCTGGACTTTTCAGCTGAAGGTCGATAACTCACTTGGGCAGGTCAGGTTGAGTTGACAGTGAGGAGAGGAGCATTCTAAGTGGAGTGGAGCTGAGCTATCTGCTCAGTGTCAATATCTGTCCATCCAGAAATCAAGTGATAATGAGAAAGAAAACAAAGTGGAGGTAAGTGAAGGTCTTGTACATTGGATGGCCCTGATACGACAGGATTATCACAAGGCAATGTATCACAGGAGGTTTTCGTGCTTTTTTGCAATAAAGATGAGTGTGGCTGGTGGCACCTCTTTGGGAAGGAGGTGGGACCCCCTTGCGCAACCACGCCCCTGAAAGGATTGCCCTGGGTGTTCCTCTCTCTCCTGCAGAATTTCCACCAAAGTTACTTCCTGAGCCCACCTATGTCAAGATTCGGTCTCCAAGAACACAGCAGATTCAGATTATAGAAACCACATATTCATACACTATGCTCTGCTGTAGGATTTTCTCCAGAAGCACTGCCTATCTGTGACAAGGTTGCTTGTTCCAAAGAGGTGCATTTCTTTTGTAAAAAATAAGAGAGAGAGAGAAGTTATGCGGCTGTAAGAGAGAGAGAGAGAGAGAGAGAGAGAGAGAAGTTATGCGGCTGTAAAATGTCAAGAAACGTCAGGGGGAAAGGGGACTAAGGATTCAGTTTTCATTGTTGGCTCAGTACCTGAGGACATGGTGGGTTGATGAGCTCTGGATCTGTCCACATGGATCAAGGGTCAAGATGTCCCGGCCCTAAAGTCACAGTAACATTTGTGTATTTCACTGTTTTGTTTCTTTATGAGCCTATAAGCCCTTCACTAGGTAGCTGAACAATATTCAGAAGCTAAGGCAACAGAAAGGAACCAAATGAGGTAGAAAGGACAAATTGCTCAGCCAGGAAAAATAAACAAACACAAGTATCGGAGAGAAGCTGAAAAACATTCTCAAAATACTGAAGCCTCCAGATACAAAGGTTCTACATGAAATAAGGTTTTTCAAGCTTGAAAACTTCTGAAAGAATGTTTTGGGTAAGCGTGTTCTCCCCCATAGCAAGAGGGAAAGGGTTGTTTGTAGTCTACAGAGGAAATCAGAATTTCAAATGGAATGCACCTTAGAAATCACCTCATCTAATTCCTTCTCTATGACTTTTTTTAATCCCAAAGTTTAGGAACTTGCCAAAATGAAATAGCTAGGTTACAGCTAAAAATAAATCCCAGATTTTTTTAAAAAAACTAAGATAACAGAGAACTGTGCTGGAAGGATTTAATTTTGAAAACACATCTTTGGAGGAGTAAGAAATTCATCTTATAGAGAGGATATTGAAAAGTCATTCACTAAAGAAAATACTACTACAACAAATGATTTTTTTTTTAATTGGCAGGAAGATAAGACCATTATAACCCTTTACTATCCATTTCTATATACAGGTATATAAGAGCACAAACAAATCAAAAAACAAAACCCACAAGCAAATCGATAAACTTGGGGCATATCAAGTTCTCCATAGGCCACATCAAATCAGCTTTAAGCTCTATCAATAATTCTCACATTTTGTAAGTAAAGTAACTGATGCAAACTAATTACATTGGGTGTAATATGTTGCTATATTTATTTAGATACTAAGAGAAATACCTCATCAGAGTTCCAAACAGGCTACTGTTCTTAACATTAAAAACAGGACCAGTTCTTCCCAAACCAAGACACTATCTTGGACATAATGAATGTACACTTCTTTTGTTATTATTTTTTAAAATGTGAAAAGGCATGAGACTGTACGCATGAGGCACACACGTAGGGGACACACACACGTGCATCTGGATGCATGAGCACAGGTAGATAGGGAAGATTAATCATCAAATATGGAAAACGCTCTTTAAGAATGGCTAATGAATGGTACTTGTACGGCAACCTACCTAACAGTATCATCAGCCACTCTGCTCAGAATTACAAGAGGTGAGACAATCACAATCTCTGCATTCAGAAACAAAACACAGAATGCCATCTGGCTAATTCCACCTCCTGGCGCTCTGATGTATGTCTGAGCAGAACTTCACTACAAGATCCTCAAGCTTTTCTCTCCAAGCCACCTGTGGGTTTGAACTTGCATCCCCA